GGAATGCACATGTAGGTGCCGACCCAGTTGGCTGGGGCACAAGGGTGCTTCAGTGCAGGGGTTGCCTTACCCTGCCCCAGCCAGCCCCTCTGCAGCACACTGAGCCATTTTGGAGCAGCCTCAGGCTGGCAGGCTGACTCCCAGGGCCCTGCAACATGCGGAGGCCCTGGGCGCATGTGTAAATATAGAGCCTGAGAGCAATAAACTCTGGTGTGATATGTGCCGGAGTTTCTTGCTCCGCATTAATATGCACATGTAGATGAACTCTCTGATGGTTGCATCTTTCTTAAAAAAAGAGAGAGGGAGAGGGAGAGAATAAACCAGACTATTAACTGGGGAATCCTGTGAATCAAGTCAGTGCCTTTGTTCCTCCCAACCAACCATACCTGACTTTGCATGTCAACACCAGAAGCAATTTTATATTGGCTCTAAAGGCACCCTCTTAGCTGTGAAAAACACTATCCAAGTTATGTTGACCTGGAAAGAATATAAGTAGGGACCTACTTAAATCATGGTTGCCATTTTTCCTCAGTTTGCGGGAAAATCATGAAATCTCTTCAAATAGTGAAAAATGGCACTGGTCATGATTTCTCAGGAAATCAACCAAAAAAACCCCACCCAAACCTAAATAAAATGCTGGCTCCCCAGTGGGAGCCAGCAGTCCTCCTGCTGCTGTGGCCGTGCCTCACAGCCTCCGGAAGGAGAAGGCGCCTGCTGGTGGGGTGGCAGAAAGGGCCAAGATGGCACCTGACCCCTCATGCCTCTTTGTTAATCAGTGCTGAGAGGCAGGGCCACATGAAGGACAGACAGCAGTCAAGATGGCAGCCACCCACCCACCAGGGCCTTCCTCCCCCGAGGGCCTCTCCGCCAGTCAGCACCAGGGAGGGGGCCACAGCAAAACACCTGTGAAACTGGTTCTGTGCACCATGAATGAGCTGTGAAAATTGCTTTCTTTCTGTGAGAGTTAGGTAGGTTCCCAGATATAAGGGCTTTTTCAACTCACCCACATTCTAGACAAAAATGGTTAGGCCAAGAAATCAGTCTTTATATTTAGAGTACTCTTCTTGGATTTAACTGCTGAAAGCTGAGCTAAGTTGACCAATGGTTGCGCTTTCTTCTCTGTTTGGACCAGAATAGGCCACCACTATATACTAATACTGAGGGATTCAATTAGTCTGCTATACCTAGGGCCAAGGCATTCTGCTATAGAAGTGAACCTAGAGACTGTCTCTAGGTGCGGGCTCTAAGCCTCTTCTGTGGGGGTCAGAGCTTACTTCTGGTATCAGCCATTTGTCCAAACCTTGGGAGACTAGAGTATGTGACTGGATTGATACTCTGCCTTTGGCATTTGCTAACTGAGGCAAAGAACCATTTATGTTCTGCCTGAGCCACACTTTTCTGCAAAAGTGCTCTTTGCCTCCTGTATTAGTTTACATTCTTGGCTTTTTTTGTACCATAAACTATCCCTGGTTTGCAAGATATCTTCCTAGGTGATTCCCTGAACTAATAAAAAATTCTGAATGAATAAAATCTTACAAAGGTTTGTTTGCAACTTATGTTAAGTGTTTGTAGTATTTACCAACTGGTAAGATAAAAAGTGTAACAAGTCAAATGCAAGTCATAAAAGCTGGTAAAAGGGAACTCAACATAAAGAGTTGCTACCTTTTTTTTTTTTTTTTTTACCCTGTGAGCTCCACTTTGAACATAAGACATTGAGAAAAACTACTGGCCTAAACTGTGTTTCTCCCTTTTTGGCTTGCATTGAGATCACAAATGTAAACTCTCCTAGCATTACAGCAGCATAGGAGATCACTATATACCAGGCAGCACCTGTCACCAACTGCCATTACTCCTCTGCCAGATTTTTTCAGCTCATACTCAAATTGTCTGGCAGGCAGCACTGTCCCATACCTACTGCAAGCGTGCGCGCACACACACACACTGCCCCCTAACTGGGATGTACTGTAAAAAAGGAGTACCAACAAATATGCAAAATGGATATAAGCAAACACAAAGAAAATAAACCACCTCCATACAGTCCCTCTAGAAGAAAGAGGCAAGACCCTCTGTGAGGGAATTTTCAATGGGCCAAATTGCACGTAAATAATTTCACCTTGTTTAATGATAACATGATATCCCTGTAGAATTTCTCAGTCCTGGGAGAGAATTAGCTCCACGGAAATCCCCAGATTTATAAAAACAGTACAGTAATTCATACTGAAATAGAGGCACAAAAAGCTAATGATCCACAAAGTTTCTTTTAAGTTAAGAATTTTTCCTTAAAGAGGGGTTGAAGGGCAAAACTGTCAAAAGTGACAATTAATCTCCTTCCAAACTAGAATGTTTTGTGAAACAGAACATGCACATGCAGGAGTAAAACCTTTTAATAATGGAGATGTGTTCAAACTCAGCAGCTAGGTCACAAGGCTCACCTATTTAAATCGGGACAACTTTTAGTTAGCAGGTTTCTAAGGTCCTCGGCAGACATTACACTTCAGACGAGATTAATCATATCTTAAGTAGTGACCTGGCAACTTGTTCATGCAATTGAAGGCACAATAAAACAGGGAATAAGCCACAAAGTTACTATGCAACATGCATAGTGACTTTGTGGCTGGTTCCCATTGCGCCTTAAACTGAAAGTTTGACTAGCACTGATCAGCTGATTGGCCCTCCCAGCCTCAGGAGCAAATCACAGCGAAACTTCGGTCACCGATTCAATTCGGTGGAGATTCGGCCCGATTTGGCAGCTGAATCTCCGAATCCAAATCGAATCAGAAGACCTTTTCATCTCTCCAAATACAATCAGAACCCTCCTAAGCGGTTTGGAGAGATTCAGCAATTCGCACATAGACACAGCTTTAAGTTTCATAGACATTAGGGATGGAAGGGACCTCGGAAGATCATCAAGTCCGGCCCCCTGCCCCAGGGGCAGGAAGTCAGCTAGGGTCAAAACATCCCAGCAAGATAAGCATCCAAACGTTTCTTAACATCCAGAGTAGGTGTTTGCACCACCTCTGAAGGGAGTCTATTCCAGGCCCTGGGGGCTTGGACAGTAAAGATTTTCCTTATGTCCAGCCTAAAACGGTCTTACAGGAAATGTTTTTTCTACATACCTCAAGGTGGCTTGTGAATGCTGCGGCAAATGGAGTGTCCCACAGGAGCGAGGGGGTCCTCAGCACGCTCGGCAGTAGACCCAGAAGTGGACCAGAAGCACTTCCAATCCACTTCCAGGTCCGCCAGGAAGCGTGCAGGGGACAACCCCCCAACCACCCCAGCTCAGTGACTGGTGCCTCCTGGGTCTGGGGGGCACCTGGTGTTCCCCTGCAGCCATTTGCCGAGCCGGGGGTTGTGAGGGGTGGTTCCCCACACACTCAGCAGTGTACCCGGAAGTGGACTGGAAGTAATTCCAGTCCACTTCTGAGTTCACTGCCAAGCAAGCGGGTGGGCCCTCCATCTGCCCCAGCATCATAACATTCATGAGACGCGCCTGCTACCTTGATGTATGCAGAAAAAAAACATTTAAAGCTGTATCTGTGGACAAAATCACTGATTCTCTGAATCAGCATCAAATCTTCAGATTCAGATTTGGTCAAATTGAATTAGGGCCGTGACCTAAATCAACGAATCGAATCACTGTCCCTGATTCAGGTCAAATACAAATCTGAATTGAATGCGACTCATTTCACACACCCCTACATCACATTTCTTCCTTCCAGTACTGGGAGCATCACTCAGCTGGTCAGCATTCCCACCCTTGAGAACACATCAAAGCCCTTCAAGGCTGGACCCTTCTGGTCCCGAAGCTAGGAACATTGATCAGCTGATCGGTGCTTTCAGGGGAAGGCACACTTGGCACCTGGCCTGCAACTTGCCAGTGCAGGGGAAGCCAATGATCATGATCCCGGGCTCCCCCTGCACTGCCAACAGGGTGCAATTTGGAATTGATCCCTGATCCCACAGTCATACCTCCTGCCATGCACATGGCAATTGTTGAGATCCTGGATCAGATCCCACTGCGTCTTTACCTGCATCTGTCAGAGGCCCTAATATAGGTTCCCTACATCCTCAGCAAAAAAATCATCATCCAGTAGCTGTTTCCCCAACCTCTCAATGCCATACCCAAGTAGACAACTACAAATGTGGAACAAAAGGCTGAAGAAAATACCTGACAGTGAAAAAATGGGTATTCCAGTGGCCGAGTCCTTGCCACCAGGTGCTGACAAACCATGGCAATGGTGGCAATGTATCAACCGCCTACATACCAGAATCAGACACTCCAAGGAACTAATGAGGAAGTGGGGTTGTACCATTGGTCTAACCACCTACGACTGGGGCACAGCTCCTCAGACCTATGCAACAAATGCTGCAATGCCCACTGCTTGAAGGCACATGTACAATGTAAGATCACCTCAATGTACAATAAACGAGTGGCAAGCATGTGTAACAAAATGGCCAAATGTGGTATAGAAACCCAAGATGATCACAAATGTGTCCTCAGGTTGAAATCATCAAGACACTTTATAAATATTTGTAAATTACAAACACTAATAATAAAATTGGTTTTAGATTTAAAAATACAAAATTTACTTTATTTTCTAAACATGAAATATTCTACGTTGGAATGTTTATTTTGTATAAGGATGAAAAGTGTGCACGCACACACACACACACACACACACACACACACACACACACAGAGTAAATAACCTACCTCTGTTTTATGTAAAAAAAAGAAGCAGCCAAAATTATCAACATTTCTACTTTAAGCATCTGCTTAATTTCCTCTCCTATCTTCCTACCTATTGCAATTCTTCTCATAGTTGCACTGCGTGTAGGGTTCTCTGGCTCAAGTACCCAGGTCTTCTCATCAATTTCATCCATAGCATCCCAAAATTCCTTCAGTGACTCCAATGCTGCCAAGAACTGGTTGTAAATATCTATTAAAGAGCTCTACAAAAAGAGGAAATGTTAACAAGGTACAGGAATCTCCACAAATATCAACATACAATGTGTAACACTCCCCCCCAAACACAGTTTTAAAAGTTGTAGATAACCATCCAGTGGTCAAGAATATTACAGTATGCAAAGGACAATGTTTTTTCCTAGGTTAATATTTAAAGGGCTTTCTGATAATGGGGCAAATATCAACTGCAGATAACTGTACTGGGTGCAATTAAGTTTTAAAACCCTTTATTATTATATTCCAATATGAATTATAATCATCTTTGAACGTGAAATAAAGCTATTCTTATTGCTACTATTTTTCAAAAAGGAAAAGGTAATGATAAGGACCATCATATTTTTCATTTGATAATTCTTAACAAATGAGTTCTAGTGGTATAGTAGAAAAAAAAAAATCAGCATTATCTGCTGTTGATAACTTACAAATTTGTCTTGATGATACTTAGCCATCAATTTGTGCTCCAAGCTAAACTTATCAAAATATTTTATTCAAATAAAAGCTAGTGGCTGTTATGAATGGACTTAATATAAAATACATTCTGTTCATCACCTTGGAAAAATATTTTATAGCCACCAAAGTGTTTTTTTTTATCAATTTCAGAATAGTTCTAAGACAAAATTCTTTTAAAAGCCTATTCTACTACTTTCACAAGTCATCTTCTACCATGCCCGATACTAGGGAGATAGACAGGAAACAGACTGTAGCTTCCCCATCCTTAGTTGCCCAGATCTAGGAAAAGGAGAGGTAGGAGAAGGAGCAGTTTTAAATTAATTATGATGTCAGAACAGCTTCTGCCAGCAAAGAATCAGTTAAGGGAAAAGAAAATGTAGCTCATATCCCCTAAAATGAGATTAAACATTGGACAATTACAAAAGATCTATAAAAAAAATTACCAACTCATATTCCGAGTTTGTAATTTCAACTTGTTCTAAGAGAATTAAAAATCCCCTTAGCTCTTCCCATTAGTAAATAAGATTGTGACTGCATCCTGAATTCACATGGGTTGATGCATACAATTTTTAACATTGTTTCAGCTACAATGATTGTCATGGGATGGGGTCCCCAGGGATGGCCGCAATACCCCTAGGGCTCCTTGACCTTGCCAAAACTGCCCAGCGGGCACCCTCTTTCTTCCCTGCCATGTCTTGCTCTGAACTATAATATAGGGAGGCTGCCTTTGATCTT